CTGAAGCTTAAATAGAGTTAATGGAAATGATGCAGAGCTCATCAAGGGTATTACTATTGACGCTGCTGGAATTTACGACTTTAGTTCAATTAGTTAATTAGCAATTAATTTGATAATATTTACTGATATAGTAATGTAAATGAAGCAAGCAGAGATAGAGAGAGAGAGCGAGAGAGAGAGAAAGGTTACAGAGCAGAGACAGGCACAGCTGGCTGCTGTGTCTGAGTGCACTAGCAGAGCTTCTTAGAAGAAGCAGCTGTGCCGCGGCATATTGAATATTTGATAGAGTTTGGTCGCTCTACCAGCGCAGTAGAGCTCTCTTTTAGCTGCTCTACGTTTGCAAGCAATAAAATTATTTAAATTTATGTATTATTTATTTATTTATTTAAAAATATGTATTATGTATTATTAGGTGTATGCATAAGTAAATATATATTTTATTTATATTTTTTAATTTTTTTAAACATTTTTTTAGTTTTTTTAAATTTTTTTTATAAAAATAAATTTTTTTCCTTATTTTTTTTTTTTTTGTTAAATTTTTCAATTAAATTTTAGCAAAAAAAAGTTTGGCTCTTCGCTTCGACTTCAATTATTAATTTTAATTTTACTTAAACCTAAATGACTTATATTTTATCTACAGATTTTTATATATATATTTGTATAGTTATATCCAAGTCTATATATTAAATGCTTTAATGCGCATATTAATTAAAAGCTTAAGTTGGAGCACATGCTTCTAGTTTTATAGTGTATGTGTGTGTGTGTGCGTGTGTTTAGTAAATGAATACAATTAGCTGGAACGTCCACACACACACGGAGACAGAGTGAGAGTGAGAGAGGGAATGAGTGAGCGAGAGCGAGAGCAAATGAGATGACCAAATGAGATGACACTAAATCAAAATTATTCAGCGCACGTCGTTAAGTCATTAATCGAACAATGCACGGCAGCTAGATGCCAGCCACACACACACACTCACACACACACACTCGCACACCCGCACACCCGCTTGCTGTAACATATGCTGATATCGTCGCCTTGCTGTGCCATCACGTTGACGACCATGTTGGCACATAATAATAACAGCGACTGGCCCCGAAGGTGCCACGCCCAACCACAACTAGACCCCTACGCAGCCGCATAGCCACACCCACAACCGCCCCCACTCCCTTTGCTAATAATAATCATTCTGCGGGGCAGCTGCCGCACTCAACGCACATTGAAGACTTGGCCATATTTGAGAGCGGTTGCATTATTAAAGGCCAGCTACTCAGCCAGCTAGCTAGTCACTCCCCTACTCCCCCCTCTCCCGCTCTCCACCTCTCTCTCACTCACACAGACCCCTTCTAATCGCCCTCTCTTTCTGCCTTTTGTCTCTGCAGCATCTTGCGGCGGCATTTTGTACGCCGCAATCGCAATCGCTATCCAAGTGCAATTGACAAGTGCCCGACGCAGAGGCACAAAGATAACCGCAGCTATGGCAACAACAAGCTGCTGCTGCTGCTGCTGCTGCTGGCGCTGCATCTGCTTCATCTTCTTCCTCATTTGCCTAACGCCACGCCCTCGCGTTAAGCTGCGCCCATCTAGCGAGTACACCTGCGAATTTCCAATCAATTGTATAATTTTTTGCAGCTGCTCGAGGTATTTAAACAGAAAATACACAATTTTGAGCAACTGAACGACTAATAGACACCCTGTAATCAAATATGGTCAACAGCTCGGAAGAATTTTTTATAAAAAATATACATTTTTTAATAATAATTTTAAAATGTAATATAGTTAAAATACTTTTTGATTATGCTCGACATACAGATACCCTGTATTATTACTTAATTTTTGAGAAATCATGACAATCATATGCATATATATAAAACTATCCAATTTATTAATAAGAAAGCCAAAATTTAAGGCCTATTAACACTTATTGATTAGGCTCGACTGGCAGATACCCTGTAACAGGCTTTAGAAAATTACAGACAATCATTTATGTATAGAAAAGACGCATTTTCTAATAGCTTGGAACAAATGAAATACATTTTGACTAAGCTCGACTGGCAGATACCCTGTAATAAAGCTATGGCAATTAACAGAAAATCACAAATGTATGTAAAGGAATTTGATTATAGTAAAGAAAATATTCAAAGCAAGTAAAACAGCTTTTAAGCGAGCTCGACTGATAGATACCCTGTAGCGTGCGTACACTGAAAGAAAGAAATGTGAAACAAATCGCATAATCAGTCGAGTACAGCTGACGTCACAGCTGTGAGCAGCTGCAAGATTACAGGGTATCCATACATGGCTGGCAGAAGCAGAACAAACAATGCGACCGCAAACGGAGTTACAGTGAATGGTAATAGGATTATGTCTGGGGACTGAGTGCGGACTCCATCAAAGCCAAAAAGAACCGCAACCACGCATAATTGTTCAATTTATTTATTTAAGCGCGCATTGCCCAGCGACGCCGCCCACACACACACAAAATTCGTACCGAATTGTGGGCGTGGCAGCAGTCAACAAACGTTTTTCGGTTATTGCGGTCAAAAATGGAGGGGTAAATCGCTTTAAATAATGCATGCGATTTCAATAAATATTGAAAATGCTGTCAACGCAGACGTTGCTGACGATGGCCGGCGCCACCTGGCGGCCAGCGGTGGCAAATGGCTAGCTATTACATCTGAATACCCTATATAAAGAGAAGGTACGCAAGTCATTTGAGTAGCTATAAGCTAGCTTTATGTTATGCCAAATATATTATAATTTATACCTAACGCAATTCATCCAAAACCATTCACTTCATATAGATAAATGCTGTTATCGATAGTTTTCCCAACTAACTTGATATCGATCAAATTCGATTTCCATAAATATCCAAAATAAAGTACATGTAAATAATATATAAGAAAATCCAAGTGGAGCTGTTTGTCTAAAATCATTTTAATCATTTAGTTCATATCGATAAATATCGATGTTGATAATCATATATAAGTAGCCATATGAATATCTTTCTCTATTTATATAGACATATATGGGTGCGATTTATGACAGTATTGTGGCGATAAACAGGCGATGACAGCTAATGCAGTTATCGATATCCACTCTAATTTTTTTGATATCGATCAAATTTCATTTGTATACATATATAAAGGTATATATAAATGAGTCCAATTAATTAATGGTCAAAAGCCAAGTGGAGCTGTATCATTTCAATTATTTATTTCATATCGATAAATATCGAATTCGATAAGTAGATATATGTTGGCATATGTATACAAATATAAGCCATATAGAGTGTTACTTACATATGTGTACATATCTTCATAATAAATTGAAGTATCGATATCTTTGACATATCGATAAAAATCGATTGACTCCATTTCCAACTCCAACTATGTGAACAGTTGCTCCCTCAGTACAAGGAGTCTCCATAGACACTGAATGTACTCTGTGCTGGCGTAGAGGGCATCTGTCAGTCGTGCATACCCCAACTAGAATAGATTCCGTCAATTTAGTTGACCCCATGTTGTATAATTCATGGCAATCAATGAACATGGCAAAGAAATCAATGCGCCACGAGAAATTATAATTATAATTTGTATTTGTAATTGCACGAATAGAAGAGGCGGGCGAACAGTGTGAGTGGAATGCCAGGAAGGTGGGGGCGTGGCACTAGCTGGCACTGGATACACTCGACTAATTAGTCTCCTGAGCGTGTTCGCTGATTCCCGATGCCTGATTATAGTAAATCTCTGGTCACGCACCAGCGAAAGAATTCATAAATTTAATTTGCCGTCAAGCAGAATTGAAGCTGTGGGGGGATGCCAGAGATGGGGAGATGAGCAATGAGAGGAAGAGGAGGGGGAGGGGGGGGCTGAAGAGGAGCTGTGGAGGCGACACGTCGCTGTAGCAGCAAACGAATTCCCACAATAAACATTTGCACGGCAGCCGCGTGCCCGATGATAATGACGATGTTGAATGTTCACAATGATGATGCTGATGATGATGATGATGGAGATGGGAGTTGTAAGAATAGGTATGGAATGAAGTGGAGTGGCTGGTAATGACGCTGAATGACGACACAGCATAGGGAATTACTGCCACCCCCGCCAGCTCACTTGCTCACTTCCTCCCTTGCCAACGTGCTCACATACCCCACATCCCGCCCCGCCCACCACCCACCTGCTTTGTATATGCAGTCATGTAGCATCGATTAATCATTTTATTATTATTATTGTTGCCGCCATTCGTTGTCGTTCCCAGCGCTCGTGATCCTCCTCATGCACACGATGCTAACGGGCGTTGCGCGGCACTTGGGCAATATACCATATATTAATATGCGTGCCAAATAGCAAAAGTCATCGCAATTTATAAAATATGCCAGAGACGCGAGTTGTGTGATCGCCACAATGGCAATAGGCAATTGGAAGCCAAGAAATATTATGTTATCGATACTATCGATTGCATACTAATTGATGATTAGTTGCGCAGCTTAAGCGTAGTGGCTGCTGCAAGCTCCTGGAGTCGGCCTCGACTCGATATGTTGACTCTGTGCCCAGCTGATCCAGCATCGCTCCTTCTGAGTCTTTCTCCATGCTGACTGCTACCTCAACACTTTCTGACAAGCTCTTGCGGGATGCTGACCCAGAATACAGCAGAGTGCACGCCTGATTAATATCACTACTGATACGTCCACCTTTACTCTGTTGTGTATTAGCACTGCTAACTATCGATACTATCGATAGCACTCACCCTCTCTCTCAACACTTTTTCATTTCATTAGAGAATATTATGATCAATATAAAAGTCAATACTTTCTACATTCGATACTATCGGCTACGTTTAGGTATTATTTTGAATATTTTTCGATATTTTGATTCAAATGTTGGCTTAAGTATATCGATACTATCGAATTTTATATATTTAAGCTTAAGGGTAAGGTAAATGACATAAAAGTGACATAAAAGTCATGAGTGAACATGAACGTTAACCAACACTGGTCGCCACGTGCTCGAACTGTATTGCCGTGTGTGCGTTAGAGCGCTACAGCTATACGTAGAGCTACTGAGTAGCCTGTGAGCGTGTGCTCAAAACACGTCTCACTCGCTCACTCGTCCTCTGTCTCTCTCTCGCTCGCTCACCCGTCCGCTCGCTCGCTCGCTCTCTCTCCCTCATTCGCAACGCTTCTTCTCTCCGCAATATTGTCATATTTTATTCTCAAGTCACGTCGAACTACAGAGAGCGGAAAGAACTGTAAGAAAATCATCGCAGTGCGCACAATGTACGCCGCCGTGAAGCCGCTCTCCAAGTATTTGCGCCTGAAGACGGTGCGCATCTACGATCCGATATTTACACTGCACTCCAAGTGCACCATCGTCATCCTGCTGACGTGCACGTTTCTGCTGTCGGCCAAGCAGTATTTCGGCGAGCCGATCCTTTGCCTCAGCTCCACGCAGCATACGGAATATGTTCAATCCTATTGCTGGACCATGGGCACCTACATCCTGCCACTGGAGAACGATAGTATCGATGCCAGCAAGCCGGTGCCGGAGCTGGCGCTGCTCGAGCATCAACATCAGCGGCTCGCACTCAACAGAAGCGGCATGAGCGCCCTGCTGGCCAACAACGAGCACTACGCACGCATCATATCGATAGCGGAGGGCGTGGGACCCGAGACTCGGGGCGTTACGAAACGAATGTACTTGCGCTACTATCAATGGGTCTTCATGATACTGCTCTTTCAGTCGCTGCTCTTCTACTTCCCGTCGTACCTGTGGAAGGTGTGGGAGGGCCAGCGCATGGAGCAGCTCTGCTGTGAGATCGGCGATGCTCTCATTCTCGAGGACACCTATTGCATGCGCCTGCGCATGCTCACGAAGTACTTTCGGGCTCGCTTCTCGGCCATCCATTGTTGCTATGCGATCAAGTATGCCTTTTGTGAGCTGCTCAATCTGATCATCAGCGTGAGTATTAAGCGATTATCGTTAAATCTAAAATATCGATCAAGAAATCAGTATAGTTTAATATCGATGATTCGATATATTTTACATAATTATAGTGCCTATCGATAGAAACGGCCTTTCTTAACCGTTCTTAGTCCTATCGGTCCTTATCGATAACTAAAGCTTAGTCCAGCCAAATGTCATCGATATTACCTATCGATAACCTATAAAACATATATATATACATTTTTTATTTATTTAAATAATATATATGTATGCTTAAAATATATCGATAACTGTTATCGATAAGTTTTTCTCGTATATTGAATATATATTATATGAATATTTAACTGATGTTTAAAGAGATCAAAAGAATTTGATATGTCTAAAATTCTATCGATTGCTGTTATCGATAAATTGCTTATCATTTTGAAAAGCTTTGAATAATATGAAAACTATTGACTGCTTATTTAATATATCTGTCTGCATCAAATTTATCGAATGCTGTAATCGATAACATATTTTCGCAGGTTCTGAACTTCTGGCTAATGGATGTAATCTTCAACGGTTTCTGGCACAAGTATATTCACGCCCTGGCCGCAATACCCGTCTACGACTGGAATCTCTGGAATCTGATGACCTCTCGCGTCTTTCCAAAGGTGGCCAAGTGCGAGATGTTCATCTATGGACCAAGTGGATCGCCCAAAGTGCTGGACATACTCTGCGTACTGCCGCTGAACATACTCAACGAGAAGCTGTTCGCCGTGCTCTACGTATGGTTCCTGTTCATTGCGATGCTGGCCGCAATCAATATACTCTATCGCCTGTTGCTCGTCTGCTGCCCGGAGCTGCGACTCCAGCTGTTGCGCACGCACCTGCGTGGCATGCCCAAGGCGCATGTGCGCCAGGTGTTGGCCAATTCCGGCTACGGCGATTGGTTTGTCCTAATGAGCGTTAGCATCAATGTTAATCCAACATTGTTTCGTGATCTGCTCGAGCAGCTGTACACGGAGCAGTCGATCAAGCAAGCCGGATCGGCAGCTAAGCACGAGTTTCCAGATCAGCAAGAGCAACAGAATCTGGACCGAGACAATCGCAGCATCACAACAGACGAGAATTCGCTGGAGAATACGGTTAACGTACATCCGACCCGCTACTACACGGAAAGCCATGCCTAAATGGCAGAGAAGACAGCGAGAGCCAGTGCCAGCATCTCCAGCCAGAAGAGATGTAATTTGATAGTTGTTCCCATTATTATTCGGTTTATTTGCGCAAAGTGCAAGACAAACACGAAAACGCATCGAAAAGCAAATAAATGCGATAATCAAAATGACAAACGGGCTGCAGCTAACTAGCACTAAGTATGTGGGCTGGCGCCACACCCTGTGGCAAGTGACTTGCCACTGGGTGTCATGGGTGCCGTTAATTTCATTGCAAGGCAGATCTGATAGGTTATACTTGCGTCTCACGTGCTGTACAGCCTTTATGCTTACCATCGATAGAACAAAACGATAAACTGTATGCTGCCTATCGATAGGCAAAGGTAAAAATAGATACACATTACTAAGTCAGTTTAACTGACTATCGATAATAATAGTATTAGCGATAGATGAACTCTATATATGCTATCGACCAAATACGCGAACTATCGATAGCCTTATGTTAAATATGTCATGTCGAATATCGATAAAAATGTACTATCGATAGATAATTAACAAGAAAAACTTATGCTGCCTATCGATAACAAATATAATCGACAGATCACCTATAACAACCACTTTCATGCCGACTATCGATAACAATTACTATCGATAGATCACCTATAACAAATACTCTCAAACTGACAATCGACTATAGCAGCAGCTCTCATGCCGACTATCGGTAACAGGTAATATCGATAGAACGCCTATATCAGCAGCTCTCATGCTAACTATCGATAACAACATATACCATCGATACGCTATAAGTCCATGGATGCAGCTACAGGGTAAGCTATAGCCCAGCAGCTCAACAAATCGAGGAGGGCGTAGTGTACAACGCGTGGGCCTTAGCAAGCCGACAGGCATAACAAAAACTTGGCCAAAGTTGCAAAAGTTACACAAACCGAAAGAGAGAGAGAGAGAGAGAGAGAGAGAGGGAGCGCGTAAAAGAAAGAGAGAGAAGGGTAAAGTTGATGAGGACGACGATGATTGCAAAACTCAGCTCGAGCGCTTCTGGCAGTCGACAGCTGGCAGTTGCCATTTGCCAGTTGACAGTCGGATGAGCCGACTGCCAACAGGTAAAACTAACAACAACACGGTGTGGAGCAGAGCAGCATGCGGATGTGGATGTGGATGCGAATGCGGAGCCGGATGCGGATGCGAATGCGGATGCGGACGCGGAGCTGCTGCAAGGACAACGCAAATGGCTGCAATTACAAGCAGCGACAACTGCAGCAACAGCAACAACAACAACAGCAGCTAAAGTAAACATCACTTTAAAGGCAAACGGAAGACAAGGCCTGCGAGGCGGGGGCGTGGCAGTGCCAATGGATGAGGCAAGGGGGAGGCTGCATGTTGCCAGCATGGAGAAAAGCGCTAAATAAACAAAGTTAATTTTAATTAAAAACCGCAGAAAACCGAAAAAACAACAAAATGCTAAATAAAACGGCAGGGGAGGCGGACGAGGGGGGCGTGTCATGCGTTCGCCTGTGGGCGTGGCAGCGTCTTGCATATGCATGTGCAAAGCAGAGCGGCGAAAAACAAACAGCAAACACACAGAAAGAATGAAGCGAACAGACACGACACACAGCAGCCAGCCAGGCAGCCCGCCAGCTCTCAGCCACCCGACGCCCTGAACCACTGCACCGCCGCAAGCACCACCAATGATAACTGTAACAAAAGACACATATAAACAATTTGGTTTAGTTTAGTTTTAATTATACAAAGCGAAAACTTTGCCAAGTCTTCAGCTGGCGAGTGAGTGAAACGGTTAAAGGCATTCGAGCTAACCAGTGCCAAAACCACTTCCCAATTCAGCCTAAATGTCAGTGCTCAAGTTGCCGAAAACTTTCGCTCTCGCTCTCGCTCCCTGCCTCTCTCTCCCACTCTCTGCTACCCTGGCATTTGGCAGTTTGGCCTTTGGCTTAGGCCTCTGGACTTCGAAAACTTTCAAAAGGCTTAATGCATTGGAATATGATGGAAGCGAGAACAGATAGACTGAGGCGAGAGAGAGTGAGAGAGGGGGAGAACGTAAGAGTAAATATATATATAAATATATATATATATATAAATATATATATATATATAAATATATATATATATATATAAATATATATATACTCAAGCCAACAATTAGTTGTATACAATAGTTGTCTTTAAAGAATTTCACCATCGATACACTTTGAGAAATAATCAAACTTCTGCTTCGCCTAATTAGAAACATTTCCACTTGCATTGGCGGAAAATAGATGGAATACGAATTTGATCAATGAATAATGAGAAATGATGAATGATTCGTAATAAAGAATAAATGAGCAATAATGAATGAAAAATTTGAAGCGATGAATCATCAATGAATTTAAATTATATTTATTATATATGATGAATAATAAAGTATAAATAAAGAATGACAATTGTTGAATGATGAATGACGACCGAAAAATGCTGAATAATAGATAATGAGTAATGTTGTATCGTCAATAATAATAATGAATGTTGAATAATGAAGAATGAGAAATGAATGATGCAGGATGAATGATGACTGATGAATGCTAAACAATGAGCAATGTCGAATGATGCATGATCAATCAGACACATGAATGATAAATTATGAATAATGAAGTAAGTATATGGAATAAGAAATGATGACAGACGAATGCTAAATGATGAATACTGACACATCAACGATGAATGAATGACGAATATATGATGTATTTGCAATTCAAATAATGAATCATAAATTATATAATATGAATGATGAATAATAAGGATTAAAGATGAATGAAGATCGATGAATATTGAATAGTAAATGAAAATGATGCCTCATCCATGAGAACAAGGAAACATTAATGATATTTCAGCATTATTATTATTCAATATACATCAATAATGAGTGATCAAATTTGAGGAATGAATGATGACTGATAAATACTGAATGATATATGTAAAATGAGTGAGTTATAAATGCAAAATGATTAAGTAGTATGAATTATAAATGATAAATGATGAATGCTGATTGATGAATTGATAAATCAAGTGATGAATGATGCGCAATAAATGAAACATAAAACTGATGATTTCATCATTCATGAGTAATTCAGAGAAAGCTTAATAAAACGCACTGAAAATGATTTGCGACTGAACTTTAAGTTTGGGAGTGAAATGAAAAGTTGTCTACTAACAAGACGAGTGGCTCGTATTAGGGCAAACAGAGCCTAACAAGCACCGAGACTAATATACACAAACTTCCTCTGGCTCACTATGTTTGTGTGTGTGTGTGTGTGTGTGCTTAGCCAAGCATCTGCTTCCAGCTACATTTAGATACAGATAGTTATATCCATCAAATGGAGGCAGCTCAGTTGCATGTGCGAGAGCCCAGCAAGTCGGGCAGAGTTTTGCGACTCCATTTCTAGGCAACCGATACGCCAAGCCTGGGCATACCTGTGCCTCGCCTTCGCACCTTGTGCCCTCGGCGCCTGAAGCCCAGTTTCGGCTGCTGTTTGACTCGACGTCGACCTGGCCTTTTACCTAGAATTTTGTGTTATTTTTGCAGGCGATGCGAACAAAGCAAATGACAAATAAATTAACAAGTTAATTGAGTTTCGTGCCAGACACGAATCTTCCTAAAAAGCCAGCTAACGGTGTTTGGATGTTTGCACGAACACGACTAGCAAATACCCTGGCCTTAGATTGCAGTATTCATTAAGAGTTCCAATCGATTTTTATCGATATTCCAGAAATATTAGCGGAAAAGCTTACTATGCATCCAGCTAACTATCCATTCTGATTCTTATAGCGCTGCAAGTCTTAAGCGAACAACTACCGAGATCGATAATTATCGATTCCTGCCTGCACTAGACAAACGCCAACATACCCTGTTCAAGCACCTGCCGATGGGTGAACGGATTAGTGAAGAGACTTTGAGCTAAGTGGAAACTGCCGGCCGCTGCTCGGCCATAAACAATAAACAATTAATGCTAAATCAATAAGCTTTCAAAACATATTTGCAATTTTGCCCAAAAGTGGGCGGGCCGATGTGCATGGCACGGGGGCGTGCCAATGTAATTTATATGCTAATCAGCTGGCCAGTTGGCGTCCAACGCCTAGAGACAGTTCGCGACTTGGGTGCCAAAATCTTCGCTCTGAATGCGAGTTTTTGGTGCTGTTGTCGGGTTTTACTCTTTTTTTTTTTTTTGGCAAATTAATTAAAATTTTGAGCTTGGCCACGAAATTATCGACAGAGGCAGCCATCGAAACGTTGCAACTGCAATTGCAATGGCAGCGGCAGCGGCAACACGTGTAACAAAATAATTTTTCAATTACATTTTCGGGTTACGTATGCGGTGCCAGCACTCTGTGTCCATTTTGAAAGCTGCCTGCCACGCCAAACCGCACAGCTTGGGGGAGGAGTTAGAGCAGTGGGAAGGGGAAGAGGAGGAGGAAGAGGAAGTGGCAGTGGCAGTGGCAGTGGCAGTGCCACTGCTATACAGGATGCAGGTGCATAAGCATTGCGTGTGCGGTGGTAGTCGCAACCGCTAAGCCCATCTCCCGATCCCTCCACACGCACACACACACAGCCTCGCCCTCTCCTCTCTCTCTCTCTCCCCGTGCCAGCATCACTTGTGCCTTTTTGCATCAAATTTTGATGCAAAATTGATTCCATGGCATTTTTGTGGGCAACGCATTTCAGAGTGGACCTGCTGCGCTTAGAGTGAACCAAAATTGGCATTTATAGCAAAAAGGGCAAGCGTTGAGTGACTATCCATAGAAACATATCGATAAGCCTATATATCGATAAAAAGAAATTCCTTATAATAACATATTTTTAACTTGCCCTCAGACTAACATTGACTCAAGGCAATATTTCTGATAAACAATAAAAGGTTTATGGAATCAAAGCATACATCTTTCATATACCAAGTCTATGGCTTTGATAGACGAAGGCAGCTGGAATCACAGCATACATCTTTCAAATACCAAGGCGGACAGGGCGATTAGGCAATAACACTCTAATAACACTGATCCCAGACTCTTTTCTCCATTTTAGTTTCTTTTTCTTGTGACACAGAAACCATTTACCCACTTTTTCTTAATCTGCAACATTTCCAATCTCTCAACTTATTCGAAAACTT